ATAGCTATCTCTCAGCATAGTTTACCAGATAGCTCCAACTCTCCCAAAAGTCCCATGGTAACGAAAGATGATCACTCCCTGAGATGACTCGACAATTCCCCAAACGACCTCAGAATAGCCGCTCATCTTCTGATGTCCGCAGTCCGGGATATGAAATATCTTTTCTAAATTCAACTCTGAAAAAATTTTTAGGTGGAAAGCAAAAGCCATGGATGCTGAACCCCAATTCAGTCGCGACAACGAACCCTTCTTCTTCAGCTGCTACAAAACAACCAAACCCTACTTCAACTGTCCCGCATCCTAGCCCTATCCAACGTCGAGACAGTGAGAAGGCCCCTCAGAAATCTTCAATAACGGGAAAGGAACGGGAACCTATCCTGAACACCGTAATCACCCCGAACATCCCGAACACACCAGGCCAAGCCGCATCTATCAATTTCACACCATCATCAGAGCAGCTGCCGATATCTCCAGTCTCCGTCCAACCGGGCCCCAAGTCGTTATCTGCTTCGCCTCATATTTTAAATTCACAGCTTGCGGACAAAACGAGCGGTTCGCCTACGAATGCTCGCCAAATCCCGGTTATTCCGTCCCCGGATTCATGCCATGGAACTTCCGTAAGAGCTGCCAGTGAGGCTGCCCCCCCGGGTAACATCTTTGGCTCTGGCTCAGACTCTGGATCTGGCGCTCTTCCGAGAGCTAGTCCTATCCCACCGCTTCAACCGCCACCACGTCCAGCGCGGCAGTTACCAGCAGAAAACCAAACAGGAGAGTTGCCGTATACAACAACAACAACAATAACAGGAGCAGCAGCAACAATAACAACCCCCGCTATAGGCTGTTCACCACCACTCGTATCATCACAATCACCTGCCATGGTTGCCATGGCAAACAATTCACCCACAGCTGAAGTGCATAGAAATAAACGGGCCCGAACCGCAACAGCAAATTCTCCCCTACTTCAAACTTTTCGACTTCGAAACAGTACGGCTCTGGTGAATGCGGTGCCAACGTCGGATATGATGAACAATTCCCAGCAAGCTAGGCCCGCCGGACAATTTTCCCTTAAATTTTACAAGCCGCTCCTGGATCGCATTCCAACCACACCAGGCAGGCCTGAGGAAGGTCGGATCTCTCTGTTGCGAAATGCTTGCGAAGAGGAGGATATATTTTACGTTGTCCTACATCAAGTCTATTGCCTTACCACAGCAAGCACTGTCTGCCTGGCACTCCCTAAATTTGGAGTTCAACAAATAAGAGGACTCGAGGCTCTCTCCCCACTTCTAATCAAAAATGATTTTCTCTCAAAAACGTTTATCCACTCATGTGCCCATTTCCCGGCTCTCATTGGCGACTTGATTCAAAACTGCTCGGCCTACAGTAAGACTTTGGATAGTGTGATGGATTTTTTAGCAGGACTAGCCGATTGCTGGCCCCAATTCGAAAGGACTATTGTTTTGCGGGGATATCCCCCGCTCATCGACGAGTTTCGCTCTCTCGGTGTACTCTCCTCGCCCACTTTGCAACATGTTATATTCGTTGCCAGTTGTCGCCACTTAACAGGAAATCGAAATGATAGAGCTCTTAGGATCTACCTCAGCATCTTTCATAAAAATCAGGAGTTTTATCGCCAGCGGATCCAACGAATGCTCACTGCGAATCCAGTATCTGCAGCCCAAGCGCGAACTGAAAACGAATACCTAGTCGGAATGTATATGAAAATACTAAGGCAGCATCTTGGAATAAACCGGGCACTACCCAACCAACAGATGGGTAGCCAGCAAGCTCACCAGAATCAAGGAATCCATTTTACTCCCACGTCTGGTCCCAATGGCCAACACCAACATCAGCCCTTCATGACCCAAGGATCTCTCTCACCTTCAGCAGGGGCACATCATAAAATGCAGTCCACTTTTCCAACACACTCACCGAACACTACTCAGAACCCACTTCAACAACCCCCAGGATGCGTATCTGTATCTTCTATGAGCGAAATTGTTACAGCTCCGCATACGTATACACTTGTGCCTGCACCTGCGGCCGCACAGGTACAATCGTATGCAGCCCCCGGAAGATCCGGTGTTCAGCTCGCTTCCAACCCGATGTCCGGGCTTCCACCCGGATGTGTAGTTCAGTTAAATAATAAGAATGTACCTTTGCATTGTGGTCCCCTTGTTCCTCCATCTGTTCAATTACCCCACGACAATCGCGTCAATATCCAGCCTCGTCCCAACAGGCGAAATCACTTACTTCTTCCTCCACCGGGGTTCGTTCCAATGGAATCTGCAAATCCTAACCCTCTCATCGTTGGCCTCCACCAAGCTCACCTTAAAGACAAAATCCGTGCTCTTAATAATAATGAGCCGAGAGCCAGTGGCCCTGAACCGCTATTCCACTATCTTCAATCTTTTGCCATTGCTCCTTCGTATATTAGAACGAGTACATCAGTTCTCAAGTGGCAGTTTACAATCTCTCCAGAAGAATTCCAGAAATTCCCTGTTCAATTACAAGGTCCAAAGCAAGGATCCCGATTATGGGGGATTGCAGATGGACGTCGAACATATCAGTTGCGCTGTATAAAAAAGATTCCACCCTTCCAAAAGCTACAGGGACATGAATGGGCTATATCAGATACCGCATGGCCCACCGCCATATACATTCACGTGAATGGCACAGAACACTTCGTTCATCGGAAGGTACACAACGGCAAAGATCTCCCTGTCCATATCACGCCGTCCCTCAAGGAAGGAGTGAATGAAGTATCGTTAACGATACTCTGGGGCCCTCCGGAGCTTAACAGCAAGTCAGTTTATTGCATGGCAGTGGAAGTGCTCGAATACGCCAAGCTCAGCCGCGTCCGCACATCTATCCAACACAACCCCCTCTCCAAATCAATTGAAAGTATCAAGAACCGCCTTACAGGCTCAGATGTAGCCGCTGCCGATGACGACCTCGCCGTTGTAGACGAGCACATCACCATCGACCTAACCGACCCCTTCATGGCACGAATCTTCGACACCCCCGCCCGCGCCAAATACTGCTCACATATGGAGTGTTTCGACCTTGAAACATTCCTGAGCACACGCTTGACAAGATCCGTCAAGGGCCACGGTATGGCTGAGGACTGGAAGTGTCCGATCTGCGGCAACGATGCACGTCCACAGTCGCTAATTATTGATGATTTCCTGGTCGAGGTGCGCAGGAAGCTCAAGGAGGAGAAGCTGCTAGATGATGTGAAGGCAATACTCGTGCGGCAGGATGGAAGTTGGGAGCGGAGGGTTGAAGGGATTAACGGTCATGGTAATCGATTTAGCAAGTCACACTCATTGAAGCGGAAACGGGAGTCGTCCGAACGTAGCGAAGCAGATACACCCAGTCAACATCAAGCTGGCCAGCAGCTGCCTTCTGCGTCTGAGCTGTCGAAGGATTCAGGTTCAGTCCCGGAAATAATTGAACTTGACTAGTTGATCCTTGACTTTTTTTTTTTTTTTGTTTCGTTTCCGGATGACGGGGTTCTTTCCATAGTTTCATCCCGTTCTTCCAAATTGGCTCCATGCTCCTTTCTTTCTTTACATGTCCGTTCCCGATCCTTGTTTAATGCATATAGCAAATTTGTTCTCACGGAGAGGCCAAAACAAGATGTTTTTCACACCCTCATTGCTCACAAGCGAACGTCAGAATCTGTTTTTACCGTTATATACCCCATTAGGAACATATCTGTTAAGTTCTTTTTTCTCTTTTGGATAAATTTTTATTCTTATTGCACCGGGCATTTGCTTCAAAGAAAAGAACGTCTGCGGCTTTCGTGTCAAAGGAATGAGATATATACATGTCATCAGCAGGTTACATACATATATACAAAATCATTTTTCACACTTCCATCATTCCTGTCTCTTCAGGAGTTGTAGATGTTTCAGATCTCTGAAAAAAATTACTGTCTCTTTTGCAAACAATCCTGCTTCATTTCTGTTGATACTATAGGTTTTACTCAGCACATATTCAATATGGGCTTGTGATATTTCTAGATTTCTATATACATATGTGAACCATTGCCCTGTACCCATTAGAGGTAGAGAAGAAAGATGAAAGGGCTTGGTTTCTTTTGCAGTTTGCAGTTTGCATTGTTATTTTATTTTATTTTATTTTATTTTTTTTTGATTCCAATTAAGATGTTTTGCCGGGGTGGGCTGGGGTTGATGATGGATCGTGACATTGATTCTGCTTGATATATTTATGCATAATGACGTAAAAGTATTTCAAAAAGCTTTCTATTGCAGGGATATATGCTCCGCAATCTTTGTTAAGTTTCTTTTGTGGTATGATGGGAAGTCAATTGTGGATTTTTATAGTCACTTATCTCAAAGAAGGGTTTACTGGAAAGTAGAATCCATCTGGAGGCTTTCCTCTCAGATGGGCAGAGATGGTAATGACAATGAATTATGGTTGATATAATTATCAATATTCGCTTTAGCTCCCTATGTAGTAAATCCATTAAAATGGAAATGATGTATGTAAAGGAAACAAGTGAAAGTGGTAGGTAGAATCTAAATCACAATGTACAATTAAAAGGGCCCCAGATTTGGAGCCGGTGTGGAGGGAGGACCGCTTACACAGTAAGAGAGAAGCAAGGGTTGGAGGGTTTAAGGGTTATGCAATAGTTTCCTGTTAAGTGATAAAGATGAGCAAGAAAAGAAAAGGGCAGCCTTCCTGCTCAAGTCTTTTCATTTTGACCGTTCCCGCCGTCGGACCCCTTCCGCCTATCCTTTCCGTGAAGCCCATATGATGGGGAATGATGTGACTGGATGAAATGAATGCATTGAATGCAATCTACTCAGGGTGGGCCCTGACGACGTATGAAGATATATATGCGCGTATATCAAGCATGGGCACCAGCAATTGCATCAAGTATCCCATTCATAGTAGCTCCCTTCTTTCTGCATCACTTCCCCAAGAAGTTGATGAGCCGCCCCCGGCGGCCCAACCCCGCCTTTAGCAGAAAACTACTTCCTCACCTGCCGAGCATGTTTCACCAAGTTCTCAATAACGCCCTCGAACGCTTCTTTCTCTCCAATCTGCGCATCACGGCGCTTGAGCCAGTATTCCAACACCTCACTGGCGCGCCGAGTCATCTCCTCCAGTCGCGAGATGTGCTGCTTCAGCTCGTCGTCCGTAAAGTTATCCAGAGCCGCATCTGTAGTTGCGCATAGACGACGGACGGCCAAAAGATCTAATTCTGGAGGTGGTTGGGGCCCACGACGTCGTGGGGCGCGGGTGTGCGATGTAGAGCGGACAGAGTCGAGAGATGTCGAGGAGCGTCCCTGGCCGTCCGCTTTCACTCTGCTGACGGAGGACGGGGCGCCGCCTGTTGCCGTGTTGGAGGGCGATGGGCTGCCCTCGAAATTTATGGAGGGGAGGACGAGCTTTTTTTGTTTTGAGGCGGGCAGGATTTCGTCTAGGTCGACAGGGACGCCCAGGGAGACGAGGAAGAGGCGACGGATGCGGGATTTTATCCAGTTGGGTGGTTGGAGGGGGGGCGGGGCGACGAGTTGGGACCAGAGGGAGAGAGAGCGGTCTGTGATGAAGATGGCGGAGGCATCTGGGAAGGGTTCGACTGGGGGGAGAGATGAGAGGTTTGCGGAGCTGGGGAATAAGGTGTCAAGATGGTTGGATGTTGCTCCTAGGAGGTCCTGGAGGTTTTTTATGGAGTCGATGTCAATGAGGGGGGGCTGCAGTATATGAGAATGGATCAGTTTACAGATTATGTTTAGAAGTGGTAATAGGATGGAGGTGACCGCATCAACAGATGGATTGTATGTACAGTTGGGATCGCTGTTTATGCTAAAGCTACTACTTACAAAGGAAGGTGGAGGAGGTTGTTGTAGGATGGGATGATTGTCTGTTTGAGTCGCACCCTCATGGATAACCTCCATTGGTCCCTGAAAAGCTGCTTCACCAAAATCACCGAAATCATCATCATCTATGGTTCTATCCCCCTCCTCGAAGTCATCAAAATCTTCACCAAAAGGTCGATCGTCAGATCCGTCTCCTGCAGGCTGTTGTGAAGCATCATTCTCAGAGCTCTGGTTTTCTGCTACGGAGCTTTTCCGCCGGACGTGACTTCGATGTTCGGATCTACTCGGTGAAGCGTTTGGAGATCCTGGTTCGGTCAATCGTCCTTCTGAAAACTATTCGCGCCACACCAGGGAAGGGAGGATGGTAAGCTTACCTAGTACATCCGGCACTGTCACGATGGTATCTGGCATTGCATCACTAGGGTGCCTCTTGTGTGCAATAAATGCTCGACGAGGGTGGTCTTCAGGGAGAGATTCAACACGGGAAAGTAACGTTTCTGGAACGGGGAAACCCTCTACCCTCTGCCCTGTTTGGTCGGGTGGCACATTCCAAAGTCGAGGGCCTTGGTCACCAATTTTCCATATCATATCCGGAGCAGAATCTGCTTTGTGAGTTTCGTAGGCTGGCGTTCCTGGCTCCTCTCCATAGCTGGGTGAGCTCGGGTCGATTTTCTCGACAACGGTCCGCGGAATCTGAACTGCATCGGGGGTTAAGGAGGCCCTTCCACTTGCACTTGACGATGGTCTGCTGGGCATGCCCCTGCCGATAATCTCGATCTCGTCTGGGACAGCGTCCAGTTCTCTCTTCTCGTAAGCAGGAGAACCAGGTGTCTCACCATAAGCTGGGACATCATCGATTCTCTCTACGCGGGTTCTGGGGATGGGCGAGGGAGAACGAGAACGAGACCCAGAGTGGGGTACTATGCCTTCAGAAGCATCAGAAAAATGCTCATCTTCGCTCTCTGAGTCTGCAGGATATAAGATTAGCTGCACATCGCTCCAGAATGTAGAATAGATATCATAGTGAGGAATGATACACACGGGATTGTGCTCCGGGGTCTTCCAGCTCAGCCCCTTTCGGCGGTGGCTCCAGCAATATGCTGGGAGGGCGGGAAATCCGCTCTGTCATCGAAACGGTCCGGGTGTCTCCAGCTCAGCTCAGCTCAAATAAACTAGTGCAGCCGTAGAATACCAGGATATTCTCCGTTGGATTCAGATCCCCCGCACCAGCAGATTGTGTCTGGGAACGAAGTCCCATTTCTGAAATTGTGGAAGGATTCTGCCAAGGCGGTCTGGAGCCCCAATCGGCCCGGTATCTGTATTGATACCGTTTTGTTGTAGCTGCTGGCCGATTGCTATGTGTGTAATCTCGTATGGTACTGTCACCTCCAGCTAAAGCTACATACAGCAAAACATCACCAACTGAAACTTCATGCGATTTCAATGTCGACAACAGCAAGAAAACTGCCCGATGCTTCACCTCCCAGGGCATAACGTTGAAGCCCTTCTTACTTCTATACATATATCCAGCGCCTATACAGCATCGGCTCTGTTGGCTGCTTAGCCTACCTCAGCTATATCCCACTCGTCCAGTCCCTCTTTATAAGTATCCATTCACCAGGCTCCAAACACCGTCCAACAAGGTAGTAGTAGTCCCTAATCAAAATATTAATTTCTGGTTCTTAGCATACATCCTGTTCTTCTTCGAAGTCCCCGAAGAAACGATAAACTATTTGCAACGATGTCTAGCCCATTTCAATTTGGGACGCCCTCGACATCGGGAGCTTCCAATACACCAACATTCGGTACCGCGGGCGCATCGCCATTTTCGCAAAACGCGTCCGGCAACACTGGTGGTGTCTTTGGAAGTGTTGGAGCAACACCAGCAACGAGTAGCTCTGCCACTCCTTTGTTTGGAGGCTCAACGACCCCTGCAACAGGTCAAACCGGTTCCATGTTTGGTGGCCAGAGCTCTAAACATACGTTCGGCGTAATATCAGGTACTACCTCTAGCCCTTTCGCGAAGCCCTCGGATCAGGGACAAACTGGTGGACAAACATCGACGACGCCCTTATTCGGGGCTGCAAGCCAGACTCCTAAGCCAACGGAACCTGCGTCATCGGGTCAGGCGAAATCTGGATTGTTTGGGGAGCTAGGAAAGAATACACCGTCAACTGGTAGTTTATTTGGAAACGCCACTCCAGCAGCATCAGGTGCAACATCAGTATTTGGCAACATGTCAACTACACCGGCAAAGCCCCCGCCGCAGAGTTCAACGGGATCCAGCCTTTTCGGGAATCAAGGGTCGACAAAGCCAGGGGAGTCTGCACCTCTGTTTGGACAGAAACCCAGTTCTAATCCCTTTGGAGGACAAGGCGCTGTCACAGGCACTCTGTCATCAACAAGTGCTTCTACGCCGGCAACAACGACAACGACTCTTTTCCCAAATGCTCCTCAATCACAAACTACAAGTTCAGGGAACTTATTCAACGTCCCCACTACCAAGGGCCAAATCACCGAGACCGAGAAATCTGATGCGAAGCCATCCGCTCTCAGCACAGCTGGGACGTCAACCACCCCGCAAACGTCTGGTTCTCCATTCTCTGTCCCTAGCACTTCAGGGACCCAATCGCCACAAAAGCAATCGAGCTTTCCTTCCTCTAAACCCACGTTTGGTACTTTAACGCCAGCCACGTCAGCAGAGACCGCTCAGAAACCCCTCTTCGGGTCCCTGGGCGGTTCCTCTGCTTCCACCTCTACCCTATCAATGACATCTACTACGGCAACAACAACAACGGCGGCACCCGCTGGAGGGTTGTTTGTCAGTATAAGCACCCCGAAGACGAATGCACCCAAGGAGTCGACTACCCCAGCCTCCACTCCGGGCCAAGCAGCTAGTGGAATGTTTAACCTCAATAAACCGAGCTTAACGACAGTTCCCACAACATCAACTCCCGCAACTACCTCCGCTACCGATGGAAAGACAACTATCACTGCTCCTCCAACAACTGACACTACCACTGCCACGACCACTGCTTGCACCACACCCACAACTACAGCAACCGCCAGTGGCCTGGGGGCGTCGATTGTAGGACCACCTCCCCCAGCCCAATCCCGTCTCAAAAACAAGACCATGGATGAGATTATAACTCGTTGGGCCACTGATTTAACAAAATACCAAAAAGAATTCCAAGAACAAGCGGAGCAAGTCGCCACATGGGATCGTATGCTTGTGGACAATGGAACTAAAGTCCAGAAACTTTATGGCAATACCGTCGATGCGGAGAGGGCGACACAGGAAGTTGAACGCCAATTAGCATCTGTGGAAGGGCAGCAGGATGAATTGAGCTCGTGGCTCGATCGGTACGAACAGGAGGTTCAAGCTTTGTTGTCGAAACAGGTTGGGACTACAGATTCATTGCAAGGACCAGACCAGGAACGTGAGCGAACGTGAGTACCAGCTCCCCCGATATCCCAATCCACGTCTAACCATATAATTTTGCCTTCCTATTGCAAACCACCAGCTAACCATCCTTCAAAACAGTTACAAACTCGCCGAACGCCTATCCGAACGCCTTAACGAAATGGGCCAGGACCTAACAAGTATGATCGAAGAAGTAAACTCCGCCTCCTCAACTCTAAACAAGACAACCAAGGCCGATGAACCCGTACGTAATAACTATAACCCCTACATATTTATCTCCCTTCACTATCCAGACACACATTGTTGTCCTTTTTTCTAACCTATCCCACCCAACCCTCTCCCTTTTTTTGCCCCTCCAGATCTCCCAAATCGTCCGCATCCTCAATTCACACCTCTCCCAGCTCCAACTCATCGACCAGGGCACAGCAAATCTACATGCCAAGATTGCCGCAGCGCAAAAGCTGGGTAGCTCGCTTAGTATGCATCAGCATCAGAGCCCGTATGGGCAGTATAGGAATGGAACTAGCAATGGTCTTGGTGGGGGAGGTGCGGCGGAAGATTTTTACAAAGCGTATATGGGCCGTCGATAGGGGCCGTTGGATGGGACTTTGGGGATTGGTATTGCGTTGGGGAAACGGACATTAGTTTTTCCTCCAATTAATTCTGATTGTCGGGGAATTACGGTTGTTGGTAATACCCCGCATTTTGGAATCTATTCTTGTTTTCTTTTCTGGTTTTTCTCCCTTCTCATTTCATGTTATGCCATGCTTTCCTTTTTATCTCTGTGTCCCGATTTTATGTTATCGGTTTTCTTTCTGGGATCACATCTGTATCGTTCCCATTTTATATATAATGCTGTCTTGATATTACTTTCCTCCTTTTTCGTCCCTTTTTCAATAATTGCAGAATGTTTTTATAAAATACGGCTTACTATCCGGGAGACAGCTAATCTTTCTCCTTTTCGTTTTGTCTTCCTTTGACAGTGGAATATATCCTAGCGCGTCCATATCACCTCCTCCCAGATACATTGTCGCGTCATTAGAGATCATTATCCTCATCAGAGCACAGCATATCCCGCATAAGATATATTTGAAAAGTAACATGATAATCAAGGGAACACAATAAATCATATGAGTAGTAACCGACTTATAGAAAAAGTATCACGGAAACGATACGTCCTCTAAAGACTTCTAGCCCTTACCTCCGGAGCTCTACCAACTCTTTTAGCTTTCCTATTCTCAGGTTAACTATCCATAGACTCCGCCACACTCCGCCTCTGCTTTCATTCTTCTCTCTTCTATCTTGGAAAAAGGAACTTGCAAATCTCTCTCGACTCATATTAAGACTGCAAATGTAGCTTACATCAGGAGCTGAAAATAAAACAATACAAAACAATCGATATACGACAAGTGAGAGGCGAGAAAAGAAGGTTTTTAAAGCCTAAGGCGAAAAAGGTGTACAAATATATGTATGACGGCTGTATTATGTTAATTTCTTTCCTTATTTGTTTTCTTTTCCTTAGTTGTGAGTTTTGCAGAGGTACTCGAAGTGTGTGATTTGTGTCCATTCCATATTGTCGAGGAAAAAAACATATCCGAACTTAAAACAAAGCCCAATCAATCAAGCAAACAAGGCCCCTCACCATCTATTACATACCTATGTATACGGTCAGAAAACAAATTGGGAAGTTCCTTTTTTTCCACTTTTGCTGAAAGAATATTTGCGTATTTTGTTTTGTTTGGCTTTGGGGTTTTGGGTTTTATTTCCTTACTCGATTGATCGTCATTTTGTGAATGGTTTTTTTTTTCCTTTTCAATACGAAAGGAGCACGAGTACAAAGGACGAAAACGAGAAAGAATGGAAATGAGAAAACAAGACATTCTGAGAAAAGAGAACGGAGTATTAGAAAACAAAAAACAACCTAACAGAGATACTTCCCAGCCGCTAAAATCGAGGAAAAGGAACGGGGGAAAATGGGGTCAGGGTTGGTGAGTGATTGGGGTGTGAGAGGGGAGCAAAGGGAGATGAGAAAAGCGAGATTTGAATGGGATGGACCATGGAAAAGGGTTTTGGAGCGCGATAAAATAAATTGAAGAGCACGGCACATCGGGGAAGGATGGGCAGATAAAAAAGAGATTAACAAAAGTCACAACAAAGGTTCCCTTTGTATCCACTCCAATCTAAAAAACAGCAAAAATAACTTCTTTCAAATTTTTTTCTTCTTTGTCTACTCAGCGGCCTTAGGGGCATCCTCGCTAGTAGAAGCGGGGGCTTCATCCTTTTGCTCAGCGGGGGCAGGGGCCACCTCGGGAGCGGGTTCAGCCTCAGATGATGTCCAGAGAGTCTGAGATAGAAAATGTTAGGTATTGGCTGACATGTCTGATTGGGGCGGGCGGCATGGTATTTACCAGGTTGTCTCTCAAGAGTTGCATAATAAGAGTGGAGTCCTTGTAGCTCTCCTCGCTAAGTGTGTCAAGTTCTAAAGTTCAAAGTTAGCTTTTGGTTCCTATCTGACATTCAAGGTAGGTTGAAAAAGTCAAATGACATACCAGCAATAGCGTCATCGAAAGCTTGTTTGGCGAGGTGGCAAGCCTGGTCTGGAGAATTCAGGATTTCATAGTAGAAGACGGAGAAGTTGAGAGCAAGACCCAGACGGATGGGGTGGGTAGGGGCAAGATCGGTCTGAGCAACCTCAGTTGCGTTCTTGTAAGCCTCCAGCGACTTGTCAGCGGAGTCCTTGCGCTTGTCTCCAAGAGCGAACTCGGCGAGATAACGGTGGTAGTCCCCCTTCCTACAAACGAACACTCAAATTAGATAAAAAGAAGACAGAAAGTCGAATATATCAAGCACTGGGCCACAAACCAACCAGCACAAAAAAAATAAGAAATAAAGAAAGAATGGGCGAAATGCGATGAAAAGGTTAGATGATTGCTTACATCTTGTGGTAGAAAACCTTGGATTCTCCAGTTTCCGCAGAGGCGATAAGGTGCTTGTCAAGCACATCCAAGATATCCTCACAGATCTTGGCCAACTCAGTCTCGATGTTTTGGCGGTACTCCTTGATAAGAGCAACCTGCGCCTCGTTGCCTTTCGACTCCTCCTTTTGTTCGATCGAAGTAACGATTCTCCACGAGGCACGTCGGGCGCCAATCACGTTCTTATAGGCAACGGAAAGCAGATTGCGCTCCTCGACGGATAGCTCCTTGTCTGCAGAAGCCACAATCTTCATGTTTTCCACCATTTCTAATCCAGAGTCAACATCTTTCATGTTCCTCACCCACATTGCGCTTTTAAAGGGGTGCCTAGGTAGGCAGGTAGTATTTTGTCACGGACCTTCGTAGCGCTCGGCCTGCTCGGCGAGCTTGGCGAGATATACAGCATCTTCGTAACCCATAATGAATCAAGGTTCCTACAATCGAAGTTTGTTAGCGCGGAAGATGGGCAGTAGTGGGTATGATTTGACGCATGTTAGCTCTTTTTTTTTTTTTTTTTTTTTTTTTTTAGTTTTAGTTTTTATTTTTTCTATTTTGCCGTTGTCATGTCAACGGAAACAGGGTAAGAGGGGCTAGGCTAAGTTTAAGACAAGATAGAGAGAGGGTGGCATTTCGTGGGACTCCAAAATGGCCGCATCGAAGCTAGATTTCTCAGGACCAATGCGAAACGATGGAATAACCCACGCAGGAAGTACAGAGATAGAAAGTAATGGTATGGAAGTAAATTGCTAAGGATTTTCTGACGCGATTACAGAAGCGTTGCTGTGACAGGGCAATGGCCAAAACTCAACAAAGAATGATTGCACACATGATACATCGCAGAGGCTTTGAAATGGATGACAACGACGTCAACTAGGGCAAAACCCCTTGCAGCGATTCGAAGGGACGGGGGTATAAATGTAGATTTCGGCAACTTGGGCGGCGGTTGGGGCCAGTTGCTGGGTGAATCACACACACACAAACAAAGGAAGGTCTCACCTGGAAAGGGGATAACGCGTAGTTTGAGAGAGCGAAGATAGACACAGACGAAGGATTGAGACAGCGGTTGGAGTACTGGGGCGGGTTGATGGGTGGTTGAGGCGAGATAGGGGTTGTTGTGGTGCGAGACAGGATGGGGAAAGGTTGGTTGTTGGGAGATGTGGGATATTTGAAGGGGTTGAGGTGGAAGGGTGAAGAGAGCAGAAGAAATTGGGCGGGTTTGGACCAGTACAGGGCAGAATGGAAAGTTTGGGATCAGGTGCTGCCAGGAGTAGTCAGCAACAAACCAACCGACGAACGACAAACAACAACATCCAGGTTAACCTGCACAACTCGGCAGCTTTTAACTGTTATTTACTTCTGCTCGCTTTATTCTTTTTATTATATATGAGAGAGTCAAATTATGCTGTCGTACTGCTCTACCCTAATCCCTGGATGGAGCTGGAAATATTTCAGAAATTCTATCCCTGCGTCATTGTTAAAAGCACTTATTTTACGTACCTACATATATCCTTAATTAGCTACATCTCCCAGCATTTCACACCATTATATCTTTTACTTCAGCCCTAGGAAGAAGAAAGCCATCCATCCATCTGCAAAGAGCCGAATGGCGCATCGACTTGGAGTCTTGTAACAATCCCACCACACGACAGCTTTCAACGCTAAAGAAGCGCTGTGCAGGACAAGGCGTAATTTCTTCCTACTCAGACTTGCGCGCTTCCAATTTCTGGCCTTCTGCCGGACTAGGCGATAACATATCCATTGTCATTCGTATATACAGCGGCTGCCAGCATACGTTTTTGCCCTGACGTTCGTCAGCTTGACTAGGCTGTGATTAAGGGGGGAAGAAGAGGGCGGCTTGCAGTATCATACTCATCGCCATCATCCGTAAAAGATGGTTAGATATTATTATATTAACTATCGATTCTCGGGTCCTGTCTCCGTTCTTGGTGGAAAAGGTCGAGAAAATATTTCATCTTTTCTACAAGCTTCTCTTCGCCCCTCGCCCCGCTTGCTTCGACTTCAATACAATAACAATACCGATAGAGTCAGACTTGTTCTGGTTGGATCCATTGTATCAGCAGAGCTGATGAATGAGCATCAATTACCAACAGTTAATAGGGACTGGATATTCGTGCTGAAACCTCTTGATGATAAACAAATGAAAAAAAGAGGAAATACCTCCACTCAGAATATAGTTTGAGGACGATCAAGAACAATAACCAAACTCGAGAAGAAACCTAACAAAGATATCCATGTTCTTTCTCAGTCGCCATTCTCTAAGATGTAGCATAGCTGCCTAATGAATAGCTGGCCTCTATTTCCATTCATAGCCATAATCTCTCCGCCAAATGTGAAAATGTAGTTGCTCTTTTACACAGCAATATCATTGCAGTGATGTATACTCTTTCGCTACGCTCGCATTGTATACCTTTTACTGTTTTTCGTCTCGACTCGATTCTCTCCCAAGGAAGTTGACGGGTGGCAACCCCAAAGAAACCGGAGTCATCCGACGTCATTCCACTTGCTAGCTAACTAGTTACCTACTTGACCCCGCTGAGTCAGCAATGAAGCTGCTCCTGCCCGAATCCGGCTAGTCTCACTCCGGTTTCCACAGCCCACCACCAAACCACTAACCTCCAATTCCACCAAATCCAAACCTCCAAAACCACCTTATCCCAAACAACCCCATTAAACCCTCTAGGTAGAAGTACGAAACCCTCTGCCATTGCTCTTGACCATATTATATCTAACGGATAAGCTGGCAGATCTCACCCCCTCCCCCCTCCACCCGCCACAGCTGATCACTCTAAACTCATCCCTCTACTTCTCAAATAGCCCTTATATATATCTCTCCCTCTCCTCTTTTCGCCCCACACGCACATCAGAACCTATCCGATATGTTGCGTCAATCCTCCCGATCTTTCCTCCGCGCTACGCAGCTGCCTATCTCCCGCTCTTTCTCCATTGCTGCCGCAAGAATGAGTGAAGGTGATGTAGGCGCTCCGAGATCTACTGGGAAAATGACAACTGGGTACGTGCTCGGTTTTTTCTAGGCATCCATATCTCTTGTATATTTAAAGCTCTATGTTTCTTTGTAGCTATTGTAGAGACGCAGTGGATGATGTTTTTCCCTGAGAAAAGATAAATAAAATACTGATTTTATATTCCTTTCTTGTATCAAAACAGCAATTCATGGACCAAGAAGGAAGCTGCCGATGAAGCCATATACATTAAGCAAAGGGAGATGGAAAAGTGCGTTTTCATAGCAACCCCCCAATATCTGAAAGGGGAATGGGAGAAAAGATAATCGAGGGAACTCGGACTTCAAGTGACTTGAATACGAGGGAGATTTATTGTGAATGGGAAAATACTTATTCATCTGTATCACAATAGGCTGCAAATTCTAAGAGAAAAGCTGAAGCAACAGCGCAAGCATCTCGATGAGCTCGATGCTCACATGTACGTGCTTATACCCCTTCCCCCTCTTTCCCCCGTCCCCATCTTCCCTTTGGACTGTAGGCAGAATTCTTCCCTTTCCATATCCATTTATACTAACGAACTCATGATCCCTCAATGCAGTGAGCAACTCACCAAGGAACACGGTGGGGAGAATAACTAAAATCTTCATCCTCCAAAGTCAACGAGAGGTGGTTACGAACGAGAGGGAGCGGGGTTGGTGCCAGGAAATTAGTTGTAAAAGGAATGCCGAATCATTGATCGCATTTTGTCGTCCCTTTGCTGCTAACTACTACTCCTTCTCCTCATCGATTATCACCAAGTTACATCTCCCCTCCACAAATACAAATACTCGTACAGCCCCGGAAAGTCTTTACTCTTTACTTACAGCAATCAGCTGGTATGTGAACACATACTTTGGAATATATCACTGTATATAAACGGTTCCTTATTATTTCCCCCCCTTCCACCTATGGTGGTAAGCTAGCTGTTACTGATCTCTCCCTTATTTTCTTTTTCCTTGTATCTGTCTATCTTGTCATTGCATTGTGTTACGGTACGATGAATCAGAAGAAAGTTAGAGAAGAGAAATATGCCTTGAAAACTTATGTTTTTCGTTTTCAGGTGATATCGTATCATCAGAGAATCAAAATGAAAAAAGGGAAATCTTCCTTCTACTTTTTCCTTCCTTTTTTCACTGATTGATATCATGCACAAGATACCAAGGACGTTTGTGCATGGGGATCGTTTGACACCTACTTGGCATCGGAACCCATAAAAAATAATCCCACAAAAAGGCTAAAATTATGCATTGCACTTGGAATCTAATGGCTCATCATAGACGTTAGAGTCATAGCGAAGTGTCATATCGTCAGATCCTGCTTTTCCTTCCCGCCCTATCTTGTCAAGGAGGTGAAAAAAGTGGGTGGGTGACAAGAGATGAGCGGAAGGGAGAAGTCAATCAGGGAGGTCAAGATGGTCAATTTTAAGGGTTTGGAGAAGTGTTGAACAGCCAAAGCATAGATTTAACCAATGGGGATTTTGAAGACAAGGGAAAAGTATTGAAAAGGACTAAAAAATCGAAAGAAAATTAGGGGGAAAATAATATGAATTAACTAGGAATGTATATCGATGGTATTTTCATTTTTAAAGAGAAGATAATATATTTTGCTCACTTTCTATTTTCTATTTTCTCATTTTTTTGTGGTTTCGACGGTTCATACATCCTCCAGGTCTAGGAGGGAAACCTGTCATATGGAATATGAAGGACTCCTTATTTATCTCTTTTCATTTTTTGTTCATATCTTTTTCTAAAAAAAAAAAAAAAAAGAATAAATAAATAAATAAATAAATAAATAAAAATAAAGAGATACCACAAATGATATCGAGGTAGAATATAGAAGAGAAGAGATCCTTCACCAATTTTTTTTTAAATGGAAACTCCATCAATCACGCCTGGCGCTTTTCCCCCTTTCTGATAAAGCATAAAACACGTTGGATGGAAACGAAAAATAGTGGATTTCAACGCCTCTCTGCTCACTCAATAGCCAATTATTAAGGAAAGCGATGGGAGAGAAAGAAAAATGAGAGAGGGAAAACAACAAGAAAACGCTCCGCAAAATAATTGTCTCCAGAAATAAAATCATGCTTAGTGAGATGAAGATTAGAGGTGTGTTTGGTAGTAGAAGGGAGGAGAGGAGGGTTAAAGCCATATCGCACACCGCATTTGGTAGTAGTAGTAGTAGAAGAAGAAGAAGAAGAAGGGGAGAGCAGAAAGCACAGGGAGGGGTAGGGAAGTAGAGTCTTTGAAACAAATGAAGTCGCACTGTCTCAGTCTCAGCCAAGGATTTATATAAGAATACTACTTATTATTTATCCGGCCAAATCGATGCGATAAGTAGCCCCCAAATACTAAAAGAAAAACATATCCATTCCCGTCTTCCCACCGGCAGTAACAAACAACGTTTGTCATCCAACGAGAAGCTCACGATATTTTTTTTTTTTTTTTTTTTTTTTTTTTGCTGCAAAAAAAAAACAACCCAAAAAAAAGAAAAAAGAAAAAAAAAAAAGAAATAAGGAAATACAGAAGGGGCGCATTTGTTATGAGACCTACGAGAAACCGAATATGAGCACCGCTTTTTCCACCAAGGTCAGGGGTGGAGGATATGGTGCCAGGGACGTAGGAGCATATCCGGCTTTGAGAAAAATTGAGAGTCGCATAATTTTTTTAGCCGGACTTTTGCTTAAGTCAGGGTTTCCGAAATGGCGCTGACATCATTTATAATCCGTGACGATTCAATATGCTTTTTTTTTATTTTCCCCATTTCGATGTTTTGATCGTGTGATGTCACATGCTCACAAAGCGCGACTTGCCACTGGCTGATCGAATGTTTGGGTTTCGGACTGTTGACGGCTTCTCCTTTTAAGCATTTGGCAGCAGACGTTTGGCAGCAGACAGGACTGGCTAAAAGGGCAAAGGTATCAGAGAGCAAATAAACCTTGTTTTGTTTTATTTCTAAAACTGACAGGGTATTTTGGATCAATGGCGGGGAAGCTGACAGCATGGGCGCACAAAGCCAGTTCGTATGTGTTGTAGTCGACCCGTAGGATTATTTTCTAAGTGCATGTCTCTCAGGAAATGAAGAACTAAAGGTGATTGATGTGTTGTGGACGACTTTTGGTTGGCTTCCTCTTCTGTGTTTCCAAGTGCAGACTCCACAGCATTAAGATTAAAGGTGATAATATAGGCGGTAACAAAGGGCTATGCTAAGCTGTTGATCGAAGGTCGTAATGCGTAATTAAGTCATGAATGGTTTGAAGATGGTTCGTGGGTTTATGTGTGTCATTGATTCCTCTTTCAGTCGTCGATAGGGGGTCACAAATCGTGTTTGCGGAGAGTGTTTTGAGAAAGGAAAAGGAGGAAGGTGTATTTCAACCCCATCCCCCATAGTATTTCACTGATTACTTCTGGGGCTTTTTCCCTTTCCCGACGCCGCTGGTTGATGTAACCTCTGTCTTCGCGGACATGGTTCGTGTCAGACCACCAATGTAGTCTTGTAGAAACCTATTTTCCATTTCCAATTTGTCGTGGTCCGACTTGACTTCATCAATGCGTTCCACGAGTGCTTGCAGTGATGATTGTAAGATAAATGCTTGTCTGCCAGGGGGAAAGGTTAGAAACAGATAGAGTAAAGATCTAGCACTCTGAACGGGAAAATTGTAGAGAGTAGAGGCAAATATTACAACATTCCGACATTCAAGACATATCGCGCACGAAGATAAGACAAAACATTAGATTGTAATTTAGGAACACTCACTTTTCTAGGAACTCTCTGGCTTCTCTACCTAGTCTCTCAACATCAGCAGAGTTCCTCCTGGGACTCATGGCGCGGGCGTCATCTGATGAGAATTCCTCCTCCTCAATCTCGATTTCGGGATGGTCGCGAGGGACCAGAATGGAGGCACTAGGTCTCCGCTTCGCCAAACGGGGACGGTTGGCCCTGGATTTTTGGTTATGTTCAGTATCAGATGCTGTGGACGATGACGAAGGAGATGAGACAGGTACGCCGTTTCCATTCGCGTTGTGAGACGGCATTGCCGGTACTGGATCTGATCGCTGGTCCACTCCAGGTCCAAGAGCCATACTATGGTATTTCCGGACCTTTAATTCTCAAAACGAAGATCCGCAAGGTACAACGTAAAAGTGGAAGAGAGAGAAGGAAATAGAGGATTCCCAGGACTCCGATAGTCACCCGAATGACGGAAAAGGACAAGAATGTTCACGGCGGACTAAAATATGAGGTTGTCTGAAGAATGGAATGTTTTATGTCCACGATTGGGGGGGGGGTCGTTGAGGAACGACAACCAGGAAATCAATCCAATATGCCTTTGGATTGAGGAGTCGTTCTCTATGAAGATGAGAGACAATCCGCAAACTGAATCAAGAGTCGAGGGAGACGGGCGGATTTGGCGGTATAAAAATGGAGCCCGTATATATGGGGAGTAGTTTAGATGTGTGCGGCGAGAGATGGAAGGGAGAGCGAGGAGAGAGAATATAAACCGGAAGAACGAAGAATTAGAGAAAGAATAGATATGGAGGGCGTGTGCGGCGAGAGATGCGAGGGATTGAGAGGAGAGAGAATATAAACCGGAAAAACAAAGAATTAAAGAAAGAATACGCAGTGAAGGTATGGACGGCGTCTGGCGAAGCAACCAGTCGATCACCCCGTGAGGCGTTAAAAAGAGTGAAATGTCAGAGCGAAGAGTGGACGGAGAGTTCTTAGCTGTCCAGGTGGGAGGACGTATCTGGCAACGGTGAAGCAAAAAATAAAATTAAAAATATAAATAATAAATAATAAAAAATAAAAAATAACAAGGGAGGCGCAGGTTAATATGGAGGGAGAAGATAGGCGTTTCTCTCACCTGAGTCGCTGACGGCGTTGCGCTGAGAGGACCGTTTCTCCCAGTCGACCAGGTCGTCAGTCGCTCTGGTTGGCTCTCACGTATATTTTCTTCCCTTTCCCTTTCCCTTTCCCTTTGCCTTTCCCACCGTCACAGTGAAGCGGTTGGAAGCTTGGCTGGGGGATGTAGGACTAGGGTTCGAAGGTTTAGCGCTGGTGGAGAGTCGACCCGCATTATTGGTCACATACAAAGGGCGGAGAACGTTACACCGCACAGTCAGCCGATGAGGCAGCGCGTACTCTTATTTGCTGGGGGTACCTGGACCTGGTAGTAATGTCAACTCAATTGTATCATCTGGTATTAGCGGTAACTATCCTTTATTTATCACCCGCATACCATACCAATACCCAGTGTGTCCAGCCAGTACGGAGAACTCTTCTCCTGCTCCCCGCTCGGTACTCTGTGCAGGAGTTGCCGTGTGTATCGCCATCTTGAAGGGTTAGAATACGCCGACTGCCTTCGGAGCACGCAGTGCGACCGGGAATGCGCTATTATTGCACTCGGCTTCAACGTCAACCACTCACGTTCACTCAGAATCAATTATTATTATGTTACCCACCCCCCGCCGAAGGCGATGCTTGTTGTCTCTGCCATTTTATTATTACCACCATTAATATTCTCTTCTCGCCAGTCCTGGCTGCGCAATATGCAAAAATACGCAAAAAGTATCAGCATGTTTACGAAAATAAAGAGAAGAGCTTAAGGTATTTGCTTTATACCGGTTAGTTATCTCTGCCCACACCATCCATTTCCATTAGTTCAACATGGGATTTAATTAATCTTTTGACATATGGCATGGAACCTCGTCAAATCATCTTGGTTTTGCTCCGATAGAATCTCCACCCTGAGAACAGAGCAACGAAACACTCTTGCATTTTGGCTTTTTTGTACGGAGTATGTTGTGCCATAAATATGCATTAATGCGTTTCGTACCCTTGACCATGAGGCTTTGGTTTGCTGTTGGTGGAAATCACAGTTCTGTTTGCTCAGGACACCTGACCAAAAAGCATGGACATCCGGGCCGCAGGTGTGGAAGAAGAGCCAATGAGAACGTTTTCAAGTTATTCTTCATCAAGTTTAGCCCCCTGATTTAAGAGGGTGGATAATACCCAGATGGAGTACGTACAGAGTACATACCAACACATTTATTTGTCCCTAGGTAGAACCTTCATCTGAGATCATATATATATTTAGCCGTTGATGATGTCTGCAGGGATATAGACGTGTGCAATGATCAAACATTTATTTATCTCCTGAATCATTGAATAATAAGCGCTCATATCATCTTATCTCATGTGTGCATTGACTGGCACTGAATGCAAAACTCAGGAGTTTTTTTCTCTTCTTCAATATCAAATTTTAGTTCTACTCTTTTATCCCCCGTTTCACAAGGGTTTCACAAAGAGGTGCGCCTGACATAGGTTACTCGGAATGCCCCCAGGTCTTGATCGACAAAAAGGAGGTATTATTGTAGAGAAGAGTCTTACTTAGAGCTACGAAGCCATGATGATATATATACCAGACCAAATAAGGAGCGGAAACCTGTGGAGATCAAACATTTATTTTCAACACTTGATTCACTTCCCACTTGATATGCCTTCTCCCTTGCCATTGAAACCCGCATTGGCAGTCAGGTAAGCTCCGTTTGCTCTTCTCGAATGACCTCAGTTGCAGAGAGACATGGCCCAGTTCAACCATGCCAAACCAAGCTGCCACAAGGCTCTGGCAGAAAAGCGCCACTGGCACCTTTGGGAAACAATTCTACCTTCAGGGACCAAAACTTAATCTTGCTTCCTAGAAAGAACCGGGAAATGCCTCTTGGTAACTATGCACCGTCTCATCCGTTTATATCTTGTAACTGGAACTATAATAATCCGATGGGCGACCTGACAAAGTGCTGCGGATGAGGCCGTGAGACGCATGAAGTTGCCGGGCATTCATCATAAATAAAGTCTCAGTGCTCAAGAGCGTACATCTGGGGCCATGCTGCCAATTTTCAATTAGGGAAGCTCCACACCGAGTTTACAGCGCCACATGAGTGCTTGAGCAGATGAGATGATATCACCTGCCAGATCATCTGCCCGAGACAGTGTGTGATTTGGAGAGTATGAATAGTACTCTTCAATTATTCATGCTCTGCACTTTAGTTCTATTCTCTATTGACTAAATCAGGGAGTGATTCGAGTGACCCACTTGAACATATCTTTTTGTCAATGGGAACATCTCGATGCTGGACACTAGGAAACTCATCCTTTAAAATTCAACATTGACCAGCTGTGCAAGAAAGTGGTTTCTTTGTGCCCTTCTTCAGTTTCAAAATTTCCTGCCTCTGGGGCCTGCCCTCCAGGTTTCATTTACCAAGAAAAGAGTCGATTTAGGGTGTAGATGAAGGGTTCTGGGTTGGACCTTGTTGGGATGGCATCCGTTGGGACTTTGAAGGTGGACATGCAACGTATTATCACTATTTAAAACACGATAGCGGTCTCATCCATGGAATGATTTCGGAAACCATCATGTCCAACGAAATGGAATTTTAATGACAACATTTAAGGAGAACCTTTCCAAATATGCTTCTTCTTCGTTGATGCTGGCTTGGGAGACTCTCTCCTTCGGAGTAGCTGGAGGCAAACCCCCAAGGCCATTCTAAAGCTCTGTTAATGAACACATTCAGATCCTCTTCACCGGGTTAAAATATCCTTCAACATGCACTGAAAAACTACATATTCAGAATGCTCATGCGCCAATAATCTTCTATGAAACCTTCCCAAACGAATCATTTTATCTCCAAAGAATATCCAAGGTTCGTGACTGGATTTTGTCGAGCAGGGTACCCAGCATTTTGTCAAGAGGATGAAATCCTTATGTTGCTACATTTTCAGTTTTCAATGAAGAAATATAACAGACCGGCCCGCCAACCCCAACGAGGCCACTGCCCTCTGTAGTCAGGCAGTTGTTGCGGGTTTAGCCATTTTAGCGCCACAAATGACCGCTTCCTGAGATCCCGAAGAGATGATTCTCCCGTCACTCGAGAATTGCTTATCGTCCCTGGTTTGACTCCATTTTTTTTCGTAGCGGGGAACAACTGGAGCTATAAATAAACTGGACTGCAATCGGATTCAAAAAACTGTACTCTCTATTCCCTGACTTCACGAATTTAGATATGACGGGATGAGCAATTGTTAATGATTTCTGGAGGTGAAGGAGGAGGGAGACCTTCGACAAGAATGAGAGAGTCAACCGGGCTTTGTATATACTGTGCAACCCCCTACTTACGAATGATACGATACCATTAGGGCTAATGTGAAGCAACAAAAGAAGACCATGAGGACATCAATATGTTACCGTTTGATGCGGACTAGTTCTAAACATGGACCAAAAGTTGAAGAAATAATGCTAAAAGACTGACAATATTACCGGGTGCCTGAGGGCTCACTCTCTCAATTTTATGGAGCTTTTGCTAGGTAGTGCGAGACTCGGTTTCTTAAATTTTGTTGCAAAATGAAATGAAATAAAGTGTAATATAAGTGCTGTATGTATCATACACGTAATATATGATTGTTTTGATAATACTTAAAACTGTTCATTATCACGCACTTTTCGTTTCTCTGTTGTTGATTGCAGGAGAAATTTGTCAAGGGTGTATCAAGTTTTTTATTTTTATTTTTATTTTTTTATTTTTTTTAATGCAAAGCGTTTTGATCAAGTTCCATTGGTTCCGATTGGCGGGGTTGTGGGAGGAGGGGGACCTCTCTTGATATAGAAATGATATGTATTAGTTGAGGTATTTAACTTCTGATTGTCCGTTTCAAATTCTGATTTATATTATGGCAATGGGCAAAGCTTCCGAAGAAAGGAAAAGCAAAAATCACTGAGCTCAGGCGATGGTCAATTCTTTCGGAGGTCGTTGAGGAAGTTGTGTTCCCCATAATTTTTCTACTTTCATTCATTTCGAGGAATTCTAAGTCAACTCGGAATTGCACGATCGCTTTTCACCAACCAGCAACTGAAGGGGTTTAAAGTCCTTATGACTCGTGTATTTCTGCATCCATAAACCATGTCCTCTCCAAGTCGATCTTTACGCCCATTCGGCCGGTATACAGCGTCCTGAAGGCCGATCATCATGATTGGGGAAATCATAATATGGGGATATGGTGTTGAAATGATCTTCGCCGTAGTATGACGAAGCAAAGTGGTTTGGTTTTTTCGAAGTTAGTTCTAGCGTCTGCTCCCTACGCCATAAATACGCCATTTGACCAGGGGTCGTTGCGGAGCGCATCGTCTCAACTTCTCACCACCTGTTTGTCCCTTTTGTTAGTTACATTTTGTCCTTGATGATTTTGAAAGGTTTGAATCATGGCCTTAGGACTGCTTAAACTTAAAAGAAATATCAGCCAGCATCCAGAAGCCAGCGGAGAAAAACGCCTCATAAATGGTCGAAATATACCGCGATCAGTTTCTAATCAACAGAAGAAGCCATGATAAAACACAAAGAATAAATCCGTTCACGTCATCATCTTGGCAGTCTATAGCGGTAAGTTTAAGGTAATGAGAGACTGAATCATTGTCCAATAGACGAGACAAACATCGGAAGCAACACGCTGGGAGAACTTTGCGGGAATGGGCAAAGAGAAAGGGGCACAGTGGGAGGTATACCGCAACTCATACGACGTCTTTGAATCGAACCCAGGAAAGGCTCAGTTTCATGCTTCCTGACTTTGCCCCAGAGTCTTGGCCATTGCAAGAGTATGAACAAAGCGACCCAAGTATACACAACAAAAATACAGCCGTTGCCCTGACGGCTCCCTTTCTGTTTTACAGACTCAAGCCACATGACAGACATCTATCTCAGTAGCAGTTCGCTTAGGTCTACCCCTCTGGGCAGGCTAATCTTTAACGATTGCATCACACGTGTTTAGTTTCTGGGTCTTGCAGTTCCACCTGGTCCTAAGTTAGTGAGCGCACCAGCTTCAGCCAGTCATGATGGACTTTCTGTTGAACAATCATTGGCGGCTGGTAAAATATACGCATCAAAGGCGGACTTTCTGGCACTATTGTTATCATCGAGGTGAAAAAGGACTTCTTCCGGAGGGGGATCAAATATCTCCATGAGAATTTGGAGACTACTCGTATGGTAACTATTTTCATTTTCACATGTACTGTACAGGGACATACCTGTTTTGTTAGTTTTCAAGTGCCCTGGAGGAGAAGGGGGGGGAGAGGGGGGGGGAATAAATCGCTTCATTAATAGTTACTGGCGCTCAACTTGCAAGGAAGATCAATCGCGGGACAGTGTGGAAACAGCAAAAAGCAGCGGAGAAAGGGCAGAACTCCGCATTCATACTAGACAATTATGGTCATACATACCTCAGGCATAGCACGTACTATTAATTAGTATTCAGTAACCCTATAATCCACAGATTAAAACTGTTCCAAAAAACCCCGCGCTTGATTTTAGGTCCATGATAGTGCAATCCCGTACTGTGGACAGCGGGCCATTTCCAAGTCTCACCAAAACAAACGGGGGAAGGCAGACAAAAGGGAAAGGAGAGCATAATATTATTTAAGTTCTGCACTCTTCGCAACATTTCTCAGCTGTATGTATGTATTATGAGAAAAAGAAGGACGAGAGTAGGTTGAACAATAATACTTTCAATCTTTCACCTCGGTTTCGTCATTCCGTTCTGGTCGCTTATGAGTTTCCGGTTCCTGTTGTTTTCCGCGGCTCCATCCCTCCTTTTCTTGAGTATGGCCCAATAGAAACCGTTCCTCGGCTAAGAATTAGCACATATTCATGCTTATTATCACACATAATAGTGCGATCTTATATGAGGAGGGAGGGAGACGACGCGATTTGAGAGCCTGTGTTTTGAGATACTTCATAGTGTCCCTCCGCCCATTTCTTCATTTCCAGATTTGCAAGCTATAAAAACGTTATAAAATATCGAAAAATGTGAGGCTGATACATTCATCCTCATAGGTTCGGAAGATTGAAATCGCGGGGGACGTGCGTGGTTTCTTGCCCCACCGCCATCCCTGTCGCTGCCTATCAGTCTATCTGATTGGGGGCTTATCCCTTCCGTGGTCTCACCCAAAGATTCCGATTCTCTCTTTTCCCTGATGCTTGTTTGCGATTGGTTGTGAAGCTGATGCTTTTTATTATCAAACTTCAGTATGAAGTTCCATCCTCAAGGCCGTATTGATGTACTGTTATGTATCACAGTGCCAGTAACTAAATAACCTTCAAATTCTCGTATGGAAAACTGTAGCAATACGTACCGTTTAGAATACGTCGTCATTAGCCGCGAGCTTCTTTAATCTCGCTGGGGATCAACATTTCGCTCAGCGATCCCAAAATACATGCCCTGTTCAGTTAAAGACCATGCCTAAGAGATTGGGACACCGTAAATTTCTACTCCATTCGCCGGGTGAAATTGAGAAATACGATAATCTATCAAAGGGCCATGTCTGTCAGCTTATCCCAATTTTCAAGTAATTCTCCACTTCCATCTCTCAGCTCATATAGACAATGCTGAACACGCGAACTGCACAAGTATGTAATGTGCGTACTTCGTCTTCATTACCCCCTGTTCAAAAGACCCATCTTCTTTTTGCGGAAGGGTTTCGTCATCAACTCTGAGGGAAATCTCGGGGCGTGTGAGCACACACAAATCGCACAGTTCCATGTGGTGGAAGAAAACGTCATGAACGATAATCTTTGTAACCTCGGCCTACCTCTTGTTCGATTTGGCCATACAGAGGAAGCGAGACGGGACAATGGAGTGTGCTGAAGCAAAATCGCCCGTTGTGTAAAAGCGTGAAATGCAATGTGTGTGCGTGGGTCTTCGAGGATTTTTCGGCGGCAAAGACGATCTGAAATGGAAAATCTCTCAACCCCCTTAACACATATCCAGTATAAAAAGGCGAGGAGAGGATACACAACTAGCCCTGATACCTAGTCTTAACCCTAACCTACCCTAACCCTGGTGTTGAGGGCAGTGAGACTTGAATAGTTAGAGATAAGGCTCTGGTGTTCGGTAAGGTATTTCCTATCTCTTCCAGCAATGCGTAGGCAACTTCTCTGGCATGTCTACAACTAGTTACAGTTTGGGAAATTTGGAATAAACAAACAAAGCAGACCTTACATACAAGCCTGCAAGGGCTGCATGTAAATATCCCCTGTCAAGGGATTGGTGCTAGGTTTAGCTATTCCCCTTTAGTTTGCTGTTCCCCCATCCCTCATCATCATCCCACATTTCATGGACTGAGAAAGCTCTTGCATGCCACACTTTCCACGGCACTGCAAGCTAAGCAAGCTTGCCATGTCAGACAAGAGCAAAAAGGAATGGTGAAAAAGGGCTATTTAAATTAACATGACGTAACCGATGCAGTGTAGTTTACCCTTGCTTTACGCATGCCGTTTTTTGCGATTTTGATTCTGCAACCCAGCTCCATGGATTCATTTGCATTGCTTGCAACGGCTTGGGCCAATGCCAACTGCTTATTCCGGACCGTGCGCAGGCCAAATGTGAAGAAGACCTTTGTTATTCCCTCGAAATTTCTCGATTTCTTCTGCTTGGAGAGTGCAGAGTACCTATACTTGTGTTTGCTTCCTGCATGGACAGAGATTAAATGCAGTTATGCATTTGTCTTGTATTTTCACTGAGAGAACTTAATGGGTCGAGACTCAACTAGGAGCTTGATAGAAAAGGACAGGAAATTTTCGCGATCTCATATAAAGTTCGCAGAATCCAGGGTGTAAGAGAGCGCAAACCAGATGGTCTTTTCGAGATTTGGAGTGTATCATTCGGCAATGCACAATGCCCGTTTTCACGCTTTCATAAATCACGCCATTAGCCTGAATATATACTATGGGAATCACCTTGCTACTTCCCGGGGCAATTAGCATACACCTGGACATAAAATACAAGCCTGCTAGCCTATAATTCAGCAGGTGTTCAAGTCCTCTAATGAGGGCGCAAAGACCTTATATCATGAGAGTTGAAACACCAACAGGCCTGTATGGCCATATTTCTGGCTTCAGGACTACACCAAAGGATGTGAACGAAGATGAAGTCTTATTCAATAGGAATGGAGGCTTGAGTTTATATTGTAAAAACAAAACAGAAGCACAAAACAGTATAAATAGAATCGTCTTTACTTCCGCGTGAACGTGAACGATATATCCAAAAAGCATAACGCCAGAGTCCTCTATACCAACAAGTGCAAGCACACCTTATATCTGCAATCCAAGGGGAAAAGTAGAGAAACGAAGAAAGCTTCCTATGACACTCCCCTTTAACGGAAGAAGCAGAGCATCATGCAGGGAAAAACTAGTCTGTAGGGAATCGAGAAGTATGTATATCAATGCCACCATCATCGTATGACGCTCCAGTCATGGGGGAAAAGTTCGCCCAATCTGCTGATTAACGAGAATTCTCCCATTGGTACAATGCCCGTAGAACGGCCACTGCGCCAGATTGGGATTCAACGGTACGGCCCCGGCCACGATCATTCACATCTTTTGAGAATGCCAAATCCACGTTGTCGGGATCTATGACGGATGTTTCTTTCTTCTTTTTTTTTTCTACTGGAGACATTCGATGCCCTCTAACGCAAATTTCATCGAGTGTGCCTACATGTGGATGGTGATAGGGTTCGTCACCATCACCTGAGAATGGCCCATCATTCATGCGATCGATAGCACCCTCTGGTAAAGGGGATGTCTGGTTGGAATCTGGATCGTTGTATGGATACTGTTTCCCCCACCACATACCAAACTTTCCTTGTTCATTTTTTGTCATGTATGAAGCCTGAGCGTTGTGTTTGATCCAAGAATAATAGGCAGCGCATTTCTCTTGATGCCAGTCGTAGTCCGGCCTTCGAGGTGGGGAATATTTAGCTGTTTGCTTGTGAAGTGACGAAGATAGAAATTGTTCTTCTTCGGGAGAGATACGACGACAGAATTCAGCAAAATGATGGAAGAAAATGCCTTTAAACGTGTGCCCATTCTGGGAGCATTTCCCTGAGCTGTCGCAAACGTCCTCGAGGACTCCAGCCCGTCCCAACCCTTGCCATTCTTGATTTGATGTGTCAGGCCACCCGGTCGCCTTGAGCACATTCTCTATTAGTTGATGGCCATCATCTAGGTAGCTTTTATCCCCAGTAGCAAGCCAAAGACCCCGGGCTCCGCTGAGTATAACTCCTTGGTTGTAAGTGTACACCATCGTATCCAAAACGTCACATTTCTTAGTGCCAGGATTAGGTTTATCTACCCATCCATTTATATGGAACCCATCGGCATAGAGCCCATTTTTGGTTGTCATGTTTGAGTTTCTCAGCCACCGGTATGCGGTAATCGCGGAGTTCAGATAGTCAGGGTTATGGGGCTTGGAGATAACACCGCCTGAAGAGGAGCTGGAGGCTAAGGGTGAGTCGATATCGTCACCAGGAAAATATAGATACATGCCAATGCTCGCAGAGATGAAAAGTTCATTGGTAATTGCATTTTTATACGGCTCTAGGTATGGGCTCCAGATCATACCGCCATCGCACAAGGCAGTATCCCATCCCTGCGAAGCTAGCTCGTAGAACAATCGAGCTCTGTGAGCAGCAGGCCTTCTGAACTCGGTGCCGTACCAGGATGGTTGCAAGCTTTCATTCACCTTGGAGTATGAAGAGTAATATAAGTTTGAATGTGTATTTTGGAACTTAATGTTCTCCAACCAGTCTAGTACCACCCACAACATGTCATCGTACGCCTGCATTCTCAAGCTAAAGGCGTTTTCCCCAAAATAAAAAGTCGACAGCTGAAGAAAATAATGATTTATCAGGTTTTCGTAGACAAGAATGTCGAAAGGTTCGGACTTGGGAGTGGTAAAGCCGCCCGCGGCAACCGATTGACTGTCATTTAGGACAGCACCGAGATTTGTACTCAGTGTGGAGAGTGTGGCAGAGACGTGTGTTGCCAAAACTGCTGCGGTCCAGTCAATGCTTGTTGGCCAGGTCCCTTCCCAAATTTCAAAATATGATGATTGCATGACATCCAGGGCGTCTAGCAGCTTCTTCAGGGTGTCCGTGGGAGCTCCGTCAGCTTGTATGCGTTTCTGTGGTTCCGAACCAAAACCTCGCAATGGAATCGACTCCGGGAGATCATTGAGTAATTTCTGCTGTCCATCGCTGCGGGAATGACTATCGTGAGGATCTAGGTTGTACTCGAGCGGTTGCGCCAGCGCATCAGCGTGAACGGATAGGCATAGGAGAAAGCCAACTGTAAAGATAACGGGATAGATGGAGCGAAATCCATATCCCGGACACCAAAACCAAAAGTCCATTCCGTCGTTACATAAACTAAGCCTTTACCTAAGAAGACTTTCTGGGTTTAACCAAAACTAATAATGTGTGGTCGATAGCTGGAGGGGAGGTATGGACAAAGACATTTAGGCTATCTCCAACAAGAGATAACTCATCGAGAACTAAACGAAGGATAAACGAAAGTAATGAATCAGCTAGCAAACGACAGGTATAATGACTAGACGCGCCATTGAAAGTCCAAATGCCATGCAAGAGATGTGGTTGGAAGATATCGTTTGGGCAGTGCAGGTTAACTGCAGCGTTGATGTTCTGCACCCTTTGGTGAACCGGTCTTAAGTTTAAGCGGGCGGACGAAAGGGTAGGGCGTGGCATCGACTATTCTAACCTACGGATAGGCGATAAACCCAGCCTGACCGCCAGAGCTGTTCACTCCGGCTCTGGATCCCATATTAACTGATCTGACTTTTTGGCGTACATAGGGCTTCGAAAGAAAGTCCATCGGGATTCCTGTTGGAAGCACTGATCCCCAACTCCTACAAGATACTACGAAATACGATGTCGACAAGCCC